TCAATAGACGACCAATGGCATTCCTAGTCTAACTCCTAACTGGATAGTCTCCCTCTATTGTGCTGTAGAAATATTCACACTCTCCCCTAACCTACAACCTTAATGTTTGACCTCCATAATNCTGCTACTTTCATCTTCTGGGTGTGTGAGTTCTTTACCGGTCAACATTCAGTTCCATACAACATCCACCTCAGTAATCCTAAGTCGTGTCATGTCATGTCTGATCACCTCTCCCCAATACTTCTTAGGTCTCCCTCTACCTCTCCGCGTGCCCACTGCCGCCAGTCGCTCACACCTCCTCACCGGTGCATCAGTGCTCCTCCTCTGAATGTGCTCGAACCATCTGAGTCTTACTTCCCGCATCTTGTCCTCCATGGGGGCCACACCCCACCTTCTCTCGAATATCTTCATTCCTAATCTTATCCATCCTTGTATGCCCGCACATCCACCTCAACATCATCATCTCTGCTACTTTCATCTTCTGGGTGTGTGAGTTCTTTACCGGCCAACATTCAGTTCCATACAACATGGCAGGCCTAACCACTTTTTACACATAATGATCATATAATTTTTCATAGTATCATTTTGAGTTTAGTTCACTTTATTTGATGTACTAGCAGCTGCTGCCACAACCTAACAGAAGGAGGCAAAAAGGACCTAAGACTCTGAAAGTGGATTTTACCTTCCAGATAAGAAGACTTATATCATATTGGGAATTTCTTAAGGCAGAAACAGGTGAGATGCTAGCTCCCATCGCTATTTCACTGTTGATTTGAATGAAACCCGAGCAGAGGAGATTGTAGCAGCCTGTGGCTTGATATGCATCACTCTGCAAATAGTTATAACAAGGCATTCCAAAATTAGCAGCAACGCGATGCTGGAGAAGGCCATAGTAATTTCGAAAAGAAGCAGAGCATCAGTAATTTGTTAAGAAGCTTACAGTCCAGTAAGTGAACAGTCTCGTGTTATTGTCACCATATAGGTTCGGGCTAACCTGAGATTATGCGCATACTTCTATTCAACATCACTACTTCAATTTTGTTATAATCTACTGCAGTTAAACCTGTATCAAAGCAAATATACCTGCCAACCAGCTTCAATGCTGTTCAAATCTTGACCAAAAGAACCACCAAGTAACCAAATCTGAGACAAGCTGAACTCATTTGGCTGCTGTATTTTGGGTTCCCAAACATTAATAGTTGCCTTTGCTCCATAATACTTGTCACCTTCAACATAAGCTATTGCATGCTGATCATCCATAAAACTCAATTAGAATTTACAAATACTAAAGTTTCCAAACAAAAAAAAAGAAAGATCATAAGAAATCAAGAAACATGTGTACATATAGACAATAATCATGAATTCTTATATTTGTTAGCCATTTATTATGTTGCTCGTATCCTCCAAAAAAGAACAACTATTAGAGGATCCGACACACACCAGGCAGCATTTTTTTAGGATATGAGCAACATATGTCCTTTATGATGGTAAAACTATGCACCTGATGGCCACTTTGATTGATGAAGTCAGGATCTGAGGACCTGGGCTTCGGAATGTTGTTACGCTTCTTCTTTCCATATCTTTTCACTGAACTTGCCCTTAAAACATCGTCTTTCTTTGTTCTCCTTACTGGAATCGTGTCTTCAGGACATCTTCCATTCATATGCCACAACTGAGTCAATGGTTTTGTTCTTTCTTTAGACCCCGTGGACATCTTATTATCGTCGTAAAGCCCTTCTGGATGATAGCTAGGCCTCATCTAAGCATCGTAAAAATACACAATACAATATTATCAAGATATTTTTAAACAGCAAAGTAAAGTTACACAATAATTCGGAAAAATACTGGTCCTTTTCTTTTTTCTTTTAAGAGTAAGAAATAGGAACCTGAATTTTGTGATCTTTAAGGAATGGGTGGTCAAAAGCTGGCTGGTGAGAGATGTGGACACAGTCAATGATATCTCCATCTGGACTCTGTTCAATCATTACATTCACAACATCAAAATTCTATATTCGTATATGATTTTCTCAACCTGAATCAAATATATTCCACTAAACAAAGGAAAGTGGTCTATCCTAGAATCTGGATTAAGTAATCTCAATTGCATTCAATAAGAGGGACTAAGATTTGAAAATTAAACAGAAAANCCCCCCCCCCCCCTCAAACACGCACAAAGTGAGTGTAAACAAAATAATAAAGACAACTAAATCTACTATAACAAATTATTAGCTGAGAAAATAAGGTACAAAACTGAAAGAAGAAAAAAAGGGAAAAAACAACACTCAAAACAATAATACGGAGTACTACTCTTCTTCTTTTACTAGTGCACATTACTTTTCTCTAGCTACGAAATATAACTCAAATCTCAAAACCAAACTAGAAGAAGAATTTTTTTTTTCCTAAACAAGATAATAGTGAGCTTTTCAACTTAGCAAATGTAAGGATTTACCTGAATGCTTTTAATGGGAGGTTTATTGAGCCTTTTCAAGTGTTTCTCTACCTCAAGCTTCTGTCTGGTGACTGCTGATAGCCTAGCGGCGCAAGATAGCGAGATTAGAGAACCCCAGAAATAAAGCAAGAACAAAGTTACTCTAACTGCTCCTCTCCTCCTTCTCTCACAGCTGCTAAAATGCACAGCAGTTGCCATTGTTTAGAAAAACACAATCCAACCAACGGAACAAGCAAAACCCAGGTGAAGAAATGTGCAAAAATGAGCAGTTTTGAGTTCAAAGTCCTTCCGCCATAACCCACAAATCAGCAGAGAGAGGCAAGAATCTCCTAAACTACACCCATCACGCGGCTTATCCTACCCACCCTTCGCTTTCGACTTTTCCCTCAATGAAGCGCTCTCAAGTCAAGTGTCTAGGACAGGGAGAGTGAGGAGATTTGACGTTTTCTTCTCTCTTTACTTTATCGAAAACTCCAATAAAATGCAGTGATGCGGGACTGTCTATTTTTGTTTTTCTATGCTAATTTATCACTCAGGGACTGTCTATTTTTGTTTTTCTATGCTAATTTATCGCTCAAATACATGACATTTTTTTCGTTGTTAGTTAGTCCAAAAAATATTTTTTTTAATTAAAAAATAATTTATTTTTTAAATCTCTTTACTTTTAATGAATTTATTTAGGGTCACAAATATTTATAGTTAATTTTAAACTATAAGTTTCAAAAAAAAATTCTTTCTTAAATTTAGTGATCGGTCAAACGTTGTTATTGCTAAATCTTCAGTATTTATTTCTTACATGGTAATCAATCAGTTAAAATAATTCACCTACTCTCTCCGTCCCGAATTATATTATAGTGTTTGAATTAAGAAGAAAAAGTTTAAAATTTGTCTAAAATAAATTATAAATATTGTAACTATAAATTCAGTAATATATTACAAAATAAAATCCTAAATTTAATTATTACTAAACATAAAAGTATATAGCCGAGGGTCTTTCGAAAATAGTCTCTCTGCCTTCTTGGGATTGGGTTTGTTGTTGTTGTAAACATACGAGAAACTTTCAGAAATCACTATGTTTTAGTGGTTATTAGCTAGTTGTAACTATAATTTACTATATTACTTCCTATAGCTATGTTTTCAGGTTTTTTAGAGTGTATTCGGTGTATTTAAGCTACTGTATTCATGAATACAGTAGCATTTCTAGGCGTGAAATAAGGGATTATAGCTAGATAGAATTTGTATTCGAGTATATTCGACTGTATTCATGGCGTGAAACATGGGTTACAGCTATACAGATTATTGTATTCGACTGTATTCACGGCGTGAAACAGGGGATTACACTGTTTTTAAACGGGAAGTGAATCAATTAACATAATAGACTCCTAATATAACTCAACAAACTCAATTATAATACACAATTTGTATTTTCAGTTATAAAAAAGATTCTCAACCGAAAAACACCCCAAAAACATAGCAATCTTCAGAGAAATTATATAATACATCTGAATACATAAATTATATTAATTAAAAAAAACATATGCATACATTCATGGAATGTAGCGAGACAATGAATACGATAAAATACATAGAATACAGCGGGATACATTGAAAATACAATGAAAAAAGACAATGAATACAGCGAAATACATTGAAATACAATGAAAAAAAAAGATAATGAATATAATGAAATACATGAAAATACAGCGAGATATATTAAAATATATTAACAAACAATTCAAATTGCTCAGCCCTCAGATGGATGGATAAAGTCACGTCGGATGGAGTTGTATCTGCAGATGGATACATAAAGTCAAAATAAGTTCAGACCAACGCTGGCAATAATACTCTCACAATTCACAAACAATGGCGTCTATATCTATTCCTCTGGCGTATAAATCTCATTCCCTCAGTCGTTCCTCAAGTTATCGTCTTCATTTCACTACTACCGAACTTCACGTAATTACCACAAAATAACGGAGGTTTTTATTGATCTGATATGTTGCGTCAGAGAATGAGATTGGGAGGCTGAAGGCGGTGGTATCAATGAATAAGGGCCACGGTCGAACGGTGATGGTGGCAACTGCTCCAACATCCAGCGGAGGAGAAGACAGACATCGGGAAGTAGAGAGAGAGAGGGAGAATAGATATGGGGTAAGGGATATGAGAAATTTGAGGGATATGAGAGAGAAAAATAATACAAAGCTTATTTTATGGGTTAATGGTAGGAGGCGACCAAAAATAGATATTTGTCTATAATAAATCAAAAGGTAGCTATGGAATATAATTTTTCTAAAGAGTATTTATTTAAAATAAATAAGGTATCAACCTTTGTTATAGGGGGTAACTAACCTTAAACATAAAGGTATAAATAATTTTTTGGATCAACTAAAAAGAAAAGGTGTTATTAACATTTAACATGGAGAAGATCAGCACGACATTAAGAATAGAACTATTAAAGAAAGTAAAGGGAAAATATTTAAAAGCTAGTTTCATAAAACAATAGTTAACATCAAAATTCAAAAAAATAATTAAATTAGTCATGAAAATCATATGAAGTAGTAAGCTATTCAACAAATTTTTGAAATGTCTTACTATATGTATTAGATGCGAAAGAATATTAAAATGAACGGAAAGTGGACGAGAGGAGAAAATGCATCACTCCACTGTTCTTATCGTTCTGTTTGAGGCTCCACAAAAAGATTCAGTATGGTATTCCCTTTTTGCAAATTTTCTTTAAAAGTATTTAACCGTTATCATTTTGAAACTTGCCCCTCCGTTCACATGTTTCAAGATTTGATGGAATCTTTTTTTTCCCTTCTTTTTTACCTTTCATTTTCTTATTACTTATTTGAGCGTAGCAGAGAGAATCTAATATTAGATTTTCTCCTCCCTCTTATCTGGATTCTAGTGTTAGCCTTTTGTATAATTGGTACCAACTATCAAAATTCAAAACATGTAAAAAAAACGGATTGAATCACAAAGATTTATTCATTTGTATGGAAGAAAATTCAAAAAAGAGCGGAAGGATCAGATAAAAATAGAAGAGTCAATATTTTTCAGTTTTTCTAAAAGTTCAATTTCTTTTTAGGAATTTTTAAAAACCTAAACTTCATTAGAGGTTTTTCTTAGTTTTTCGTAAAAATTGAGAAACTACTTTAAACCCTAAAAAGCTTTTATCTCATGGTGTTTGGTTGAATTCTCTTTCTAGGAAATTTTTTGATGACCTAATGATCTCTCTTTAATTTAGAGGGTATTTTGATTGCCTTTTAGGTTGGTCAGATTAGCTTTTAAGCTTTTTTTAGTTTTTTTTAGTGTTTGACAAATTTAAAAAGTACTTAAAATAAGTTAAAATTGCTCAAAACAAGCCAAAAGCAATAAGCTGAGTGTTAGGACCGAAAAAATCAGGTGTCATGCGGAAGCTAGCAAAACAAACTTGAACGACGATATATCAGACAAAAAAAGAGAAATCTACCAAAAGAGACACAAACATTTAACGTGGTTCGGTCAACTGACCTATGTCCACAACGGAGATGAGTAATCCACTATATAAAAAGAGAGTACAAAATATTGAGAAAACAACCTCACGAAGAGGCAAACACAAGTGACACACTAACACTTGTCCCATAAAGTTCTCCCCTAAACACGACTCTCAAACCCCATATTGCTACATTGTGGATGTTGCTGAATGAGAAGGAAGGATCCTCAATTTATAGAAGTCCAAACCTTTTCCTACAAGAAAAAAGACTAACCAAGTATAGGAGAATTATAATTTCCTTCTACAAAAAGGAAAACTCAATTAAGGTAATTATATTGCCCTTTTCCTTCAAGAGATAGGAAAATCAAATATGGTAAGAAAATTATGGCAAACACCTAACAATTCTCCCCCTTAGCCTAAATTTTCTGACAAAATAAACTTGATTCACCTTCTTCACATAGCCTTCAATAGGTTGCATCTCCAAATCTCCACCACAAAGTTTGTCTCAACGTGCGTAGCACACCGGTCAAATTTCTCAGACAAAAATTACGATTATCGTCAAATATGTTGCAGCTAGAACTGAACGCGCCAAGATGAACCTGTCTTGAACCTCGCTCTGATACCACTTGTTATGACGAGGAAGAGGCAAACCCGAAAATAAAGAAGATAAAGAACACCAAATTTTAACGTGGAAAACCCTTCAAATCGAAGGTAAAAACCACGGGATCACAAAGATCCAAAAAGCTCTACTATAACAATAAGAGGGTTACAAAAGTTCTCCAAATTAGATACACAACAAGTGCCAAACACGGAGCAACAACTGTAACAAGAGCAACAACTAATCAATTGAAGAAAGAGGAGAATTCACAAAAATAAAGCTGCTGTTTGAGGCTAGAAATCAGATGTCACGAGCCACCAAATCCGATCTTCACCATTCAAATCTAAGACCAAGATGTTATGAACGCTCAATCGAAATTTTAGCCCGATCCAACGGTTATCAAATCAGAAAACGTGATTTGAATATTGGCTAGTCGGAATAAAAATCTGCAACAAAATAAATATTTTTCTTCTCTCTTCTCTCTTGACGAAAGCTCTCTCAAAAACCACTCTTATGTGTTTAGTCTTTCAAAGACTTGTATCAATGAGCATAGAATAATTCTCCAAGGTTGTCCTATTTATAGATCATGAGTGGTGCTTTCTCTTAAAGCCAAAACCCACTCAAAATAGGAATAAACCGAATCCAATTCCAAATAGGAATGGAAACCAAAAGAGAATATGATTAGGCTATTAGGCCTTTGGCTGGATAATATGGGCATGAGCCCAACAAACTCCCCCTCCAACGAAGGAGCCAAATATGTCTTTAAGTAGAGGAACTATTGACAGGCTTCATGCCTGCCAATTTTCTACAAAATTCATGTTTATCTGCAACCGCCGCCTTTGTCAGCATATCCGAAGGATTTTCATCAGTGTGTATCTTCTCAACATCAAATAATTTCTCTTCCATGGCCATTCTTATCCAATGATACTTTCTATTTATATGCTTGGTCTTAGAATGAAAAGTGGAGTGCTTGGTGAGACAGATAGCACTCTGATTATCACAAAATAAGATATACCTTGGCTGCTCAAAGCCAAGATCATTAATAAACTCCTTCATCCATAATAGTTCTTTGGCACCTTCTGTAACTGCAATATATTCGGCTTCTGTGGTGGATAGAGCTATGCATTTCTGTAGTCTAGATTGCCAAGAAACAGCTCCCCCTGCAAGAGTGATCAAATAACCGGAAGTGGATCTTGAATTATCAAGATTGCCTCCTAAATCAGAGTCTGTGTAACAAACAAGTTCAGGTTTGTCATTGCCAAAGCACAGCTTCAAATCTGCAGTACCTTTCAAATACCTTAATATCCATTTTACTGCATCTCAATGTTCCTTTCCATGATTAGAAAGGAATCTACTAATAGTACTAACGACATGTGCAATATCTAGTCTAGTGCAAGCCATAGCATACATC